GGAAATGCACTGTGTTAAGTTTCCTCATTCCCTTCTCTGCACACCACTTTGACAAAGGTGATCGTCTGAGTCCCTGCTGATACAAGACAGTATGTGCTTCCCATACCACGTAGGAGGGCAAAAGGAATTTCTTCCACAGTGCAGTCAGCCACCATTCTAATTTTCCGACTTCTCCTTTATTTGATTCCCTGATACCAATGAGGTAACCATCCCTAGTCTTCTTGGGTTCACCCCTTACAGAAATCACCTAACTTGATTACTCTAACCCTTGCTTCATTAGGCTTTCCCCAGGGTTGTGGTGGTGGGATTCAAGCAAGTGCCACCTCCATGCCATGCTGGCAGTTGCTGGGGTACCAGCTGGAGGTACCTGAGCAGGGCCATTGCTCTGGAAGAATTTGTAGTTTAGGAGACAAAGCAGACAGGTTACCAGAGTCTTGCCAGTAAGATGAGAGTTCCAACAGTGGGTGCTTTGTGTGTTCTAAGAAAACAAAGGGAGTAATTTAATGACAGGACAGAGGGAAAAGACAGGTTTGGAGTCTTTGGTTTGAATGACCTGGAAGGCTTGCCCTTGGGGTTAAGAGTGACAACATAGAGACTTGTTGCGACATGCCTGAGACACCTAGACAAGCTCATCCCTTGGGCATTGTAGGAAACCGTAAAGTCCTTGCTTACAGATGCTGAATCTGGGGCTCAGTAGATTAGATGACTGTTCTGAGTGCTCTTTCAGGCTTTGTCCTTCCTCCTGGGATCCTTACCCTCTTCTTTGCTTGGGTTTAACCATGCTGTCCCAGGAAGGGAAGGGCTTTTCAGGGATTGGGTTTTGCTACTGTTCTTGGTGGAATGATGGGTTGGTATCCCTTACATACACACATATACACACACATACCTTCTCCAGCTCAATCCCCTCACCCCAACTCTTGACCTTTGACTTTACCTCAAAAGGTGGAGAATCTGAAACACATTAATCTATTGATAACCTGGTTTATCGAGGACCAGGCTCAGGATGGTCTTGCTCTTTCCAGAGGTTTTCCCTGAACTTCCCTCCTTAGAATGTGCCAGAATGGCAAAAGAGTTCATCCCTTATGCCAGATCTACTCTCCTGGGTATTTGACTGGAGTGCTGTGTTGAGAATGATTCTGACGCTTAGGTTGGGGTGCACTGGAAATCCTGGTCAACTAATAATATCTCTGTGGGTGCAGGAGAGGGAAGCTGGCAGCTGGGCAGTATATTTGGCACCCTGGTGTGGAGAGGAGGTGTGAGGTGGTCTGAGTCCCTACCACTGTCCATCCACAGTAGGCACTTGGGCAAATCACTCCTCCATTTGAGGCTTTGTTTCTCCTGAGAAAATGAGAGGGCTGGATCACTGAGTGATCATTTGCCAAATATTTATTGAGGGCTGTGTGCCAGACACTGTGCCCAGTGCCAGAATTTTAAGGTGAGTCAGCAGCCATGGTGCCTCCCATGACAGGGTGAACATGGCCTTCGTGGTCAGTTCTAACTCCAGCTGTCACCACTGTCAGCTTGACTTCTCTGAGGTTGTTTCCACCTGCAGAGGGAGCAACAAGACCTGCCTCATGATAGCAGAGGTCAGAGGGCCTATCACATATGATCATTGCCTGATCAGTGTGAGCACTCCTCTGATATTCTAGCAGGGGCACAGACAGACTGCAAGGAGGGCAGGCCAGGGTGGCCCTCACTGCAGACTTCAGAGCCTCAAAGCAGCCCTCTACAAAAGCAAGAGGCCTGTCAGAAGTGATAGTTGAGATCTTGCCAAGAATCCCAAGTAGGAAGTGAATAATTACTTTTCCCTTGAAGCTCTCCTGTTCACACCTGCTGGGAATTGGGAACATCACCTCCAGGGAGTCCTGCTTAGGCATGAGGAATGGTAGATGAGGATTGGAGGCCGTGTTCCCTAGGGAACCTGTCAATGGAGGGTCAACTGAGGGTCTAGAAGTGGAGTAGGGACTGAATTTGCTTCAATTCACCTGAAAAAAAAATCCTGGGAAGTGAACAGTAGGCAGGATGTGAAGGTTTCATGAAATGAAGACCCATGGAGTTGTGGTCCATGGTTGTTAGAGGAAGACATTGGCTATTCTGAGTTGAGGTCTTGGTGTTAACACTACTAGCTGTGTGAATTTGGACCAGTTATCTCACTCACTCAACAAAGCTTGTTGAACCTGTCTGAATGGGGCTTTATGGTAGCCCCCATACAGAGCTGGAGGCAGGCACATCTAGGATATGTATACAGCCCTTAGAAATGCTCAGAGCTGTGGATAGATGGTGAATCACCCCTCCTCAGATCCAGCATTGAAATAGGGAGGCAGATTGAGGCCCATCTGAGGTTCATTATTAAAGGGCATGAATAAAAGAGGTGCCTTCGTGTGGTCATGAACTTCCCGTTCATGGGTGCTCAGCTGTAGAGGGGCTTGGTCCCATGTGCTAGGTCAATCTGGAATCAGAATTGTTGACTCAACAGAGTCCCTTCCCCCTCAGTTGCTTTGACTCCAGCTAAAACCAACTCAGATAATGAACTGTTTTTATGGACTCCTACCCCAGAACTGCCAGTCTCATTGCCTCTTGATTTTTTTTCCCACTAAAGTAGGCCCTCTGCCGACAAAGTGGGCACAAGAGATGGATAAACAATCAAGTCAGTCTCCCATTATTTTAAGTCAAAACCAGAGATTATTTTATTGCTTACTAAGCAGCAGTAATAAGCCCTGGACTGTTTGAAAACAGCTCAGTTCTGGTGGGAAATGTGCTAATGTGGGTCAGAGGCCCTGGGTTGAGTCCTAGCTCAGCCACTTACTAGCTAGGTGACTTTGGACAAGGCTTGTCTCCTCTCAGGGCTTCAGTGTCATCTGTATAGAGGAGTTGGTTGCCATCCTAACTTTGGGATGGGCCATAATGAATCTAAACAGGTATGGGAGATGAAGTGTGAGGCTCTTGGGTGCCTGTGCTGTGCAGCCAAGGGACAGGCCTGGGGCTTGCCTCTTCCCATGTCATCTGGCCTCCTGATGAGGAGCTTTGAGGGAACCAGAAATGGAAGAAAAGTTAGAAGGAGCATCGTCTTCTCAAGTGGTGCAGCCATAGGTAGGAGTTGATAGGGTTGTCAGAGCTCCCCTGGGAGAGGCCAGTGTGAGGCCAGTGTGTTACGGTTGGACAGGTGGTTGGAATGGAGGGGCAGGAAGATGAAGTAAAGCCTTGATTGTGCTGCTGTAGCAGCATCCAGGTGGGCTGGACGTGCCAAGCTCAAAGAGGTATTTGGATGTGGCCCAGGCCCCTTGGGGGAGGTAAGGGTACCTCAGGGAGTGGACTGAATGCACTGAGAATGTGTGGGAAAAGCCTGCCTCCCTTTGGAGCCAATGAGCTGCCTGCAAGCCTGATCCCATCGCCCTTGGGATGCCGGCTACAGCCTACTGTTCTTACAGTTCTCCGAACACATGGCCCATGTAGCTCTCTGCTTTCTCATCTCTGTGACTTGCTCTTGCTGTGGTCTGGATGGATGTCTTCTACAATTCCCAGGGCCCACCTTTCTTTCAAGGCCCAGCTCCGAGGCCACTCCTCCCGGACCTTCTGGCCCCAAGCCTCTCCTATGGAGACGAAGACCACATTCCTCTTCACTCGGAGTACTTGTGTGCATGTTTTTTCTTCCCAGACACACCATGCTTGTTCTTCTTGCATGCTCAGTCCCTAGGTCACTGCTGGAATATAGTAGATGCTCAGTAAATGATTAACTACACAAAATAACAATATTTAGGAAAGAAAAAATATGAGATTACCTTGGTCCCGAGTGACTGTCAGTCCTTTTTACATACCACCTTAGGTCTCACACAAGCCCTAAATTCTAGAGGTATGTCAGTCTGAAATCTATGGTCAGCCAGCCATTTGCCTGACTCTGCAGAGTAATCCCGGCTCCTTTGGGAATACTGATATAGAGGAGGCTTTCAAGGACCTGCTTACTAAGACGGATCACTCTGACTTCCTCTCCTCACTGAGCAAACCTTACATGTCTGCCTCTGATGTGCTGGGGAGCAGGGGCAGGAGGTCAAATCAGGGACAGTCCTGGGTCTGCAGAAACTCCAAGAAGACAGGTAGCTGTCACCACACTGGTCAATGCCAGGCTGGTGATGCTAAAGGCCAGGCCCTCTCTTGAACACAACTCATTTTGTCTCCACAATGACCCCATGAGGTAGGTAGGATCTATTATCTCTGTCTTACAGATGAGGCTCAGAAAGCTTTAGGAACTTGACGAAGGTCACATAATGAGAAAGGAGAGGAAGAGGGAAGGTCTTTAAAAGGTTTAAATTGGCATAAGCCAAGTATGAAAAGGAGGGAAGGGTATTCCAGGCAGAGCAAATATGCCCACAATTTTGAGGCTCCACCAAAAGCTTGGCATGGCTAGAAGGGAGAATCACTGGGGAAGTAACAGAGGAAGCCTCAGAGGACAGCAGGAAGCAGGTTGTACAGGGCCTTGGAAGCAGGTTGTACAGGGCCTTGTGGGCCATGAGAAGGCACTTGAACTTGGTTATGAGGGTGGTAAGAAGCTCTTTGAAAATCATGTTGACCAGAATTGCCTTCTAGAATGAGCCAGTAAGTGTTGGCCAGTGGGAGCTTGCCTAGATACAGGAAGCCCCACACCCAAGCATCTGCCTTCATCTTCCTTGGCCTGTGTGTTGCAGAGTGGTGTCCCCTTCCAGTGCTGGCACACTCCACGCTCTGAGCCGCTACAGCCGCTACACGAGCATCTTGGACCTGGACAACAAAACTCTGCGCTGCCCTCTCTACAGAGGCACACTCGTGCCCCGGCTGGCAGACCACCGTACCCAAATCAAACGGGGCAGCACCTACTACTTGCACATCCAGAGCATGCTTACCCAGCTGTGTTCCAAGGCTTTCCTCTATACCTTCTGCCACCACCTGCACCTGCCTGCCCATGACAAGGAGACAGAGGAGTTGGTTGCCAGCCGGCAGGCAAGCTTCTTGAAGCTGAATCTGGGTCTAGTGAATGAAGATGTCAAGGTGGTCCAGTACCTGGCTGAGCTACTGAAGCTGTACTATATGCAGGAGTCTCCTGGGACCAGCCACCCCATGCTCAGGTTTGACTATGTCCCTAGTTTTTTATACAAAATATGAGGTCAGGCCCAGCCACTGTGACCAAGACCTGTGATTCAGGGCATGGGGAAGAAAAGTGTTGGCATGACCAAGCAGTTCTCTGAGCTGTGTAGACTTCTGGTGTCATAGGTGGGAATGAAGCAAGGTGGCAGCTGTGGTTCCCACGTGGTTCTAGGCAGCTTGCAAATTGGACTTGAGCAGAGCGGGGAGCCTGGCTCTCTGAAGGCATCTGGAAAGACAGTAACATCTCCTTTGTCTCCCTGGTGAAGTGGCCCCAGGATCGGGAGAGGCCTCTTGGTTTCCCAAGGGCTGGTGGCCACAGCAGAGGAAAGCCTCAGTGGGGTGGGATGATGGGCAGGAAGGTGAAGCCCTAATGGGAGGAACATGGTGACTACATTCAGCTCTGCTGAAAACTTCAGCAGCAAAATCAAGTGAAGCAGCCTGTTAACTGGAATGACTTGGTGGAAAACAGGATGATAGAACATCCATTGCCTCATTCAGATCCCAGCTGAATGGCCTGGAGCCCATCATCCCAAGGGAGGCCCCTGAATGAGTGAGGTGGAGAGGAGAAAGCTCTGTCCCAACTGGGTGGTGGAAAACACAAAAATGCTGAATGGAGAGTGAGCCAGCACCCTGTGCCTATACATACTTCCTCACCAGGCACAGAAGTACCTATGGATGGGCCTTGGAAATTGGAACCCACAGGTCAGCAGAAGTGACTGGAGTAGTCACTAGTCCCCAGTTGTCAGTGAGAATGCTCTCAGAGGTAGACAGCCCAGGAGACAGGCAGAACCAAGGTGCCATGAGGCCATCACCACTGTGCAAGTGATGAAGAGCCAGCAGGCTTTCTGGGGCCTGGTCAACCAGCCATTCTGGCCAGGGTGAGTTAGCACTGTCCTCTTGAGGAAGGTCTGTAGCTATATGTTGGAACTTGGTAGGGGTCACACCTTAGTCGACTCTCTCACCCAAAGCAAACCTTTGCAACCACTTCACTACCTCTGGTGGGGTCTCATAGGCACTGTGACAGTAGAGTTCTGTTCAGCTGGCTGGTCTGGGTGGGCAGTCCAGCTGGTGATAACTCATGGCAGGGATTTTCTTCAAGAAAGAGGAAAGTTTTCTTGTGTGGCTGTCTTTGTAGATCTGCTCTGGGAGGCTGTGCAGGCCTGGAGTATGCACACCTCACGGCAGCTCACTCCAGTCCCCACAGAATCTCCCAAGTATACTCAGCTCACTACAGCTCACTTCCACCCTTATGTGAGTAACCCGAAGTGCACTCACCTCACGGCAGCTCACTCCCACCCTCATGAAGCCTCCTAATATGCTCACCTCATCGCAGCTTACTCCCACTGCCACTGGGTCCCCCTTAGTTGGCTCACATTACCACAGCTTTCTCCCACTCTTATGTGAGTCCCCCAGCTTTTTCAGAAGATGCTCCCTGGTTCACCCACTATGATCTCTGAGGCTTCTTACACAATTGCCACTGGTATGTAGATGGTTTCTTGCAACCTTGAAAATTTTATACTTTTTTTTAAAGCTGTTTTTCCCACTAAGTAGGGAGAACTCTTGGTATTACTGCTTTTTAATTTGTTCCCAGAAAATTGTGATAAAACAGACCTGAGCCAGCCACAAGTGGTACTCCTGAGCACATGTGTGCATATCTGTTGGGGCCATGTTCTGTGTAGTTGGCGTCCTGCTATTGAGAACTGGTCTACCCATCAGCTTTGAGGCACATTATTGAAGTCAGAGGAGAGGCAGAGACCCCTGGTGACTAACGAGAGTTTGTGTCACATCACTCCTGTGGTCCCTTCCTTGCCCAGGTCCTCTGCAAGAATATGGCCTGTTGGCTCTTACCCATCAGCTTCTGGTCAAGGTCCCCATTCCTCTCATAGCAGGGATTTCCTCCAGGAAAGAAGAAATCCTTCTTGTGTGGTTATCTTTGTGTATGTGCTTTTGCTTCTCAGGCTGTGACCGAGAACCTTTTATGGCAGATGGTGCTGCTTACATGTCATCACTTTTTCTTGTACCTGTGCCCATTGCACATATTCACACAGTCAAGTCTCCAGGAACATCTTGGCACCTGTGAAATGTGAAGTGTGTTTGCCAGTGGGGGAAGCTGAATAGGAATCCTGTTTTTCTGTGTGAGCTCACCTTGTGTTACCATCTTCCCTCTCTGGTCTTGTACAAGATGCTTTGTTTTCTAACTGGGTGGCTAATTGTTGTCTACTTAGTCCTCCAGGGACATGAGCTTATGACATTTTGTTTCCAAGGGAGTAAAGGTCTTTGGGGTCCCAGTGACAAGATGGAAAGTGATCATTGACACCACCATAGCTACTTGTTCTTGTGTTTCACACTGACATAGACTCTGCAGTTAACACTTCTCATCTTGGAAACTGATACAGGCAGTTCAGTTAGACTTGGCCTTCTAGAAGTATAAGCAACACACTACCATGGACCTTGCTTTGAAAAGTGTTTGCTCAGAAGCTCTGCCTCAAGGATGATTCTGAAGGCCCTGAGGATTCTAAGGTGAGACCAGTTGGATGTGAACAGAACAGACTGCCCTGCAGGGCCAGCTACAGAAAGAGCAAATGGGGAGCGTCTCACTGGAGTTGTTTCTTCATGAGGAAGACAAGTTGGCTTCACTGACTAGTGAGTGAACTCCAGGATTTAAAGTTTGGTTAAAATCTAATTTTCAGTGTGGCAGTTTCAAAGGATTGCTTAAAGCCAAGTACATTTCTTTTCAAAGGGATCTTGAAGTGGTATTTGGACTGAGGCAGTTTGGCAGAGGCAGTTGAGACTGTGAAGCTGTCCTTCCGTAGCCCCACTCCACTTTGGAGAACTGGAACCTACTAGAAGATACATCTATAAATCTTAATGGTGGGGAGCCCTATGCAATGGGACTAATCTCTTCAAGAATTTTCATTTGAGGTTTTCCTCTAGTAATAGGTCAGTAAGTGTTGTTAAAACATTTAAAAACACTTACCAGAAAATAAAGGACATCAGTACCCCTTATTATTTCTTCAGTCCTATCACTTTGAAGGCCCAGGCACTGAAACTTTGAGGATTGTTTCTGTTTTACTTCCAATTACCTGCCCCTCCCCCCACCCCCGCCCTTTTTTTAAAGCAGTCCAAGTTAAGAAAAACCTGATTAGGCTAGCAATTATGCAGTAGTGATCTCCAGAAGCTGTTTTAGATATCAGCTGAAGCTTTTTACAGTACCTGTGGCACTTGAGACACTCAAGCCTGAGCTGCTGTCCTCACTCTTCACTGTTTCCTTGCTCCTTTAGTGAAACCGTTGATTTTAGAAGTTGTGACTTTTCTACTATTGACTGCAATGGCTGAAGTTACACACATTGTATTAGAATTTGGAAACGGGCCATGGTAACTCAGCTGTCATTTTCTATCTAGCTTTTACTTCATTTCAAATCAGTTACTATATGCAAAATATGGTAGACTTCAACCTCAAGTAAACAACAAATCTCATTTCAAAGTCCAAGGAAGGCCAATAGATTCTACCCCAAATGCCAGGGCTGCTGTGTTTCAGTGACGTGTGTCTGGAGGCCAAGAGCAGTCTTAAAGATCTTGCATGCACACTGACCACCCACTGTCAGTGCTGGATACATGTCCCCTACCTTCCTGGACCTGCTGTTGCAAGACAGGTCATCGTCCCCTGTTGCCATGTCATCTTTGCACAGGTGGTAGCACTCAACTGGTGGGGATCTATGGGTATGTGTGGATGGCCTTCAAAGGCACTGATTCCCCAAGCCAGCAATCAGATTTTACTCCCCATCTCCCTGGAGAACTCAGAAGTAAGTGCCTTGGTTCGTGCTTTCAATCAAACCAGCCAGATTTCTGGCTTTTCTCCAATACTGTCATAGGGATAAAACTGGAATCTTTAAAAGAGATATGGTGTTAACAGACTGCAAAAAGGAAGCAGCACCAAATTTCTACTTCTGGCTGAAAGCAAAACCAGTCTCAGCTGATAAGGTTTGAACACACCAAGTTTTCCTGAGCCCTTTCCCCATGGAACACTGACCTAACCTGGCCTTATCTATTAAGGTTTCTTATGGCCATGAGGAGGAAGCAGGAGTCAGGGAAGGATGAACAAGCATTTTGCAGTGAACTAAGCTGCTATTATGGGGCCCTGGCTTCTTCGGAGAGCTCCAACATGGAGGCTACACAGGGTGTCTTGGAGATGTCCGTGTCTTCAGCTGGGAAAGAATCAAGCCCCTGAAGATAAGACTGTTTTGGCAGCATAAGAGCTCCCAAACTGAGAAGTGATGTGGGTACTGGCATGTCACTCACACCCCAGGGAGACCGCAGCAGCTGTCCCTACTGCGCTGGAGTAAATGCCAACAACATGCTGGACCCTAGGCCACAGGGGTACCTTCCAGGCAGGACCACAGGGTGCCTCACCCACCGACTGCCTGACACTGGCTGGCTACACAGGTTGGGTTGAGAGAAATGCCACCTTTAAGGTTGCAGTCAAAAGCATAGTCTGTGAGGAAGTCATATTATTTTTTGAGAAGTATTTTATTACTGCATGTTCGTTCCTCTGTGCGTGTGAATGTGAATCTGACCACCATGTGAGCTGCAATCATCATCACAGTGGCGAGGGCAAGAATATGCCAGACACATGTGAGAGCAGCTTGTAGGTATGGCTGCACAGAGTTCAACCAGAGTAAATGCCAAATAGTATGAGAAGTGTACTTTTTAAGAAACTAATTTATTTGAGTTGAGATATTTTTGAAATATAAAAATTGGTTGTATTTTTTAAAGCTATAATTCTTGTAGACAGTCTGTGTTAAAACTCTGTGCTTATTAAAAATGGTAATTTGTTTTGCACTTCATCTTTGTGAATAAAGTTTCTTTTGGAAGGTGACATTTGGTTTCCTGATTACAGGAGGGAGTTGGTTCTCTCACACAGGGCAGGAAAGCCCCAGGCTGATGCTGACACTAGTAAAGGACTAGGTACCCCAAGCTCTCCCACTTTTTCAGGGGTGGAGAATAAAGGAGACCATTTTCACGGTACACTAAGCTGCTAACAGAGAAACCCACAAACTGGCACCTTCTAAAGACTTGTCTGACTTAGGATTCTGATTGAAAGCACATAGCAGAAGCTTTAGGAGGAATTTCTGTCTTCAGTTCTTATGTCATAATTCATTTCTCCTTTGATGTCCCACTGGGTAACGAAATATTAATAATGGGAAGCTTTCCCAAGCTATGAATGTGGGTGTTTCTTATCTGCTGCAGTGAGTTGGAAGAAGCCCAGTAACTCTTAAGAGAAGGGTGAGTAAAATTAATGGAATCTTTCCAATACCTCAGCCCTACCCCAGTGTCTAAATGAATCAAGGCTAAATAGTATTTCTTTTCTCCAGAATAACTATATATGTAGTTCTGAGAAAATAAGGTTCAGATTTAAACTTCTTAATAACTTGTCCCAGAATTACTAACAGTGGGCCTTAGTAAACAGATTTTGATTTGTGAAGATAACTTGGAGAAAGTCCCAAAAGAACCCCTCAGAGAACATACGGAAGTTGATCAGATCCTGTGTGGGGCAGTGCTTTTCTCTCCTCAGAAGGGCACTGGGTCCTTGGGCAAGCGTTCCTGGGCAGTCCCGACACTCTGGCACTGGGGTAGGTGCAGCCTGGTGGCTCCTCTAAAAGTCGGGCAGGCCAGGCAGGGGGAAAAGAGACGCAAAGCTCTCCACCTCTTCCCTGAGAGCTCTGATGGCCCTACGGTGCTTCTCGTCGCCTGCTAGTTTCTCCTTGAACTCCTTCAGGGTGGCCTTGACACCAACGTCGCTCTGAATCTGCAGAGTCAGTTCTATCCCTGTGTGGTAAAGACAAATAAGTCCTCTAGCCTGCGAGACACACCCAAGGCCCAAATGCCCAAATGTCCCAGCAGCTGGAGGTGAGACAGCCCTAAGTATTGATGTTTACCACAGAAGTGATTCTTATATGCACCCTTCCTCGTGCAGGACAATCTTACAAATCTCTCAGACCAGATGGTTTGCTAAGTGATTTCTGCTGTCTCCTGTCCCCAGCACTCAGCCTTGACACAAATGTCCTTCAGTAGGTGGGTCTCAACCACTCACAGCTTCCATACACACAGTATGATGTGGCAAACTTCCAACCTACATCTTTACCTCTGTGAATAAAGTGGGCTACTTTTTGGAACTCTTTTTCCAGAAGTCCTCGAGATGTCAGTGCTGGGGTCCCCAGTCGCAGCCCGCTGGGTCGCAGTGCGCTTCTGTCACCTTCAACATAAAGAGGCTCTGTACTTGGGCTGTACCCAACTTACCACTGACCAGTGTGCATTAAAAGGGACATTTGGGCAAAAAGAATAGGCCTGCAGGTGCCAGCTCAATCTAGAGAGAAGGGTACAGCTGATTTCCACAGCAGAGGTGGAAGCAGACACAGGCAGTGAACACATTTTGACTACTTTAAATAGTAAGAAAGTCGCCTTCTGTGACATGGCCTTTGCTCCTTAAAATGAAGCTAGCATCTGTCTGGGTGTGAGATGTGTCCCCATATCTTGACTAACAACCCACTGAGAAATCTAGCTTATTTTCCAAAGGGCCCTGCCTCCCTCACCCAAATGCCTTCTCACCTTTAAGCACCCCACCTCAGTCCCCTTGTCCTTGGCAGGGGTAGAGCCTATCAGAAAGAGTGGGCCAGGAGAGAGCCATAACTTAGCCCCCATCCAGCACGGTGTATCTATCCCCCTAAATCATTTGAGGTCTGTCCCCAGAGCCAATGATCATTGGCTGTAACTGGCCATAGCGCAGACAGGAGAGGTATGAAAGAGGAGACCAAGGAGGATTCTCACCTGGACAAGTGTTCTTGTTGCAGGCAATAGAACAGGCTTCTAGCACCTTCTCAGCCCTGCCGCCATCCGTGCCTTTGGAACGGAGATCCACAAGGATCAAATGGTTGTCAGAACCACCTGGAAACCGAGTTGGACATGTAGGAATGTGGAAGGCTGATACCATGTCAAGCAAAGGAATTTCTCTCTTCCTAAGAAATGAGGATGGGGGAGGAAGGGGGCTAAAGCAGATGAGGTCAGGAAGGTGTGTCCTGGAAGGCTTTAGTCATCTGTAAAGTTTGACAGAAAGGACAGCGTAGTGTAAAATGGGTGCCCAATGATGCAGAGGGGGCCTGAGGTTGGAGGGAGAATGACTAGACTGCAATGACCCAGCATCCCAGGTGCCGGTAAAGGGCCTGGAAGCTTGTCTGGGGAGTGACAGCTTGCTCAGTGCCATTCATGGCTTCTATTTTCTCTGACATATCACTTAGGAAGTTCCTATGCATCTCTGAAATTAATCTTCAAGGCTGAGGCAACATCAGAGTAGCAAGTAGGGGTTCCATTTATGGTAACCATGGGTAATTACTACTTTCGGTGAACACATATTAGACACCAGACACTACAAGCCTGTCATATACTTTATCTCTAATGCTATGAGAGTGGCAGTATTATCAAAGCAGATGAGGATATCGAGGCTCTAAGAATTTTCTGGAACTGGCCCAAGACCACCCAGGAGTCTTCAAAGTACTTGGATTTTTCCACTTTGAGCTCTCATTAATCCCAGGTCATTGACCTGGGCAAAAGCAATGACTTCAAAGATACAGGTTAACTAAGTCAACACTTAGCTCTGGACCCCAGAGCCTGAGCTTAAGTCAGTCTCCACAGTCTCTCATTTACTAGTTGTGTGGCTTTAGTCAGGCAGCTCAAAATTCTGGAACCCCAGATGCCCATTTGTAAAATGAGACCAACAACGTACGAGGCCCTTGTGAGGTTTAAATAAGGTACTGTATATAGTGCTTGGTCACCACCAGGCACTAGGCAGATATACACAAATGCTGGCTGTGATTATGCTCATCATCTGTTTCAGCTGCCTGTACCGTGTCCTCAGAGCAGAATTAACAAAATGTGGGAACAGGCCTGGAAGCTCAGGAAGGTGGAGAAGATTCACTGGGAGGCTCTGAGCAGCCTGGCTGACAGGGCTGCTGGGGGATGCCTGCAGCCAAAGGGAGTTTGGCTTAAATCTTTGCAATGCCAAGTTGGTTCCCAGGCCAGCATTACCTGAGAGCTGGTTAGAAAGGCAGACCTCACCCCAGGCCTGCATTTAACAGGGTGCCCAGGGATTCGTATGCACACTCAAGTTTGAGAAACAGTGATCCAAGGGACCTTGAAGATCACAGTCTAGACAGATTTCTGGGGCTTTTTTACTGTAAGATATGGAGGATTGAGAAGAAAGTAAAGAGAGAAAGTGAAAGAAAACAAAAGAGGTGCTACCTTTTCTCTGAGAAGATGGTATTTGCCCCGGCTTTGCCACTCACAAGGTTTGGTGGGAGCCCACTCCTCAGGCTGGGTCCTATAACCCCTGTAAAGGGCAGTAAGCAGGGAGTGGGCACCTGCGCCTACAGGGGACCAGACCTATCTTCCTGGACCATCTACTGCTAGCACAGATGGCAGCCATGTGAGCAGAAGAGTAAAGCTACTCTTCCTCGAGATAGCAAAGTATACTGTCTGCCAGAAAAATTTTGCTAATTGTGTAAGCCTGAAGTGACTGAGGTGGATGGCACTTCTGAGCGGGGCCCTCACCTGGAAAGTCCATCTCAGTCAGGGTCACCCAGTGCCACGATCTTCATATTAAAGCAAATGCTGAAATAGCAAACTCCCATGAACTCCCAGCAGGACAGCCTATTGCGCCTTGACCCTCGGGGTGAGTGGAGACACTCCTGCGGGACAGTGCAGGGCATTGCTGTAGAGAAGGCCCTGGGGTTCTGCCCACTCACAAGGTTTGTTTCAAGTCCTGGCTCTGCTACCCACCAGCTCTGTGACCACTGGTACCTAACCTCTCTCAGGTGAGACTTGGGTACTCCTTTCAGAAAGCTGTTCTGAGAACTTGAGGCCTCACCTGCCAGGTGACAGACAGCAGCTATTATTACTATCATCTCTGGCCCAGCTGAGGAGGCAGCTGTCATCAAGTAAGGAAAGGAGGAGGCCATGACAGCCACATCAGCTCCTCTGGAGGTGGTCCCGACTCGTATCTCAGCTGCAGCTGTAGCTGCAGTGCCAGGGCCGCGACCCCACAGCCACGGCCTGATTGGATGAACCGGGATGTGAGGCTTAGTGCAACCATCAGAAGCAGGGTTGCATTCCGGTGTTGGTGGGTGCTGCCCAAGTTTTCGATGGTACCTGTCACTACTTTGTAGCCCAGCTCCATCAAGGTCTCAGCCAGAGCCCTGCAGTTGGCCACCACCTGGTGCTGATAAACTCTGAATTCCGGAGTCATGGCTTGTTTCAGCGCCACAGCAACCCCTGGCAGGAAGAGATAATGGGTCAGGAAGAAAGGACGGGATCAAAAGACAGACCGAGAGTCAAAAACACCCCTTGTCCCCACTCAGGCTTGCTTCTCAGTGTCACTGAATGGGGTGGATTACATTTTCCTCAAAAAATGACACATTTTTTAACCCTACAATTACCTGGCTAAACCTCCAGACCTCTTCTTTGAGCAAATGCTTTTTTATTGCTTTTTAAATTTTTTAACTAATCAGTTATTTTAATTGAAGAAATGATTTAAAAATTTTTTCCCTGTCTACCTCCTCCCTTCCCTCTGGTAACCACTAGTCCATTGTCCATGTCCATGAGTCTCTATTTGTCCTGTTCATTTGTTGCTTTTAGGTTTATATCCCACATATAAGTGATATCATGTGATTTTCAACTTTTTCTGTCTGGCTTATTTTGCTTAGCATGGTTATTTCAAGGTCCATCCATGCTGTCACAAATGGCAGTATTTCATCTCTTCTTACGGCTGAGTAATATTCCATTGTATATATGCACCACAGCTTCTTTAGCCAATCATCTATCGTAGGACACTTCGGTTGCTTCCATGTCCTGGCCACTGTGAATAATGCTACTATGAACATCGGTGTGTAAACATCTTTTTGGATATGAGTTTTCAAGTTGAGTAAGTGCTTTTGAGGTAGCCTTTCTCCAGGCATGGAAGTTTCATGCTAACAAGATCACCACAGAAAAGCTGCTCTTAAACAAGACAGATTTTACAGTCCTTTTTTAAGCTCAGTATGTGAAAACAATTACTGAGCTGCCCTAAAAGCTGATGTTTTGATGTCAAATTATGCAGATCTTTCAGATTAGGGTCCAGGTGAGAGGTGCAGGCTGCTCTACCCTGCACATCCAGATTTATCTGGTACCTTGTGTTCAATTCTGAGGGCTAATGACAGGGCATGGAAAATGAAGGAGATGGAAAATGAAGGAGAATGCAACATGTGTGTGCCTTAGTCCTGGTACAGAAGCCTCCAATCAGTGTGTGTGGAAATGACTGGAAAAGGCCCAGAGTGGCTGGAGGTGGGCAATCTCATCATCTGAGGGTTGAAGAAACTGTGGATCCTGAGCTTGCAGGTACAAAGGGGGAACGTGAAAACACCCCAGTGGACATCCAGCCCTGCCCCACACCCACGGGCCTAAATTCCCCATTCACTGCTTGCTTCCTCCACTCTCCTCTTTGGAAACACTAGTGCTTCCCTTAATGAAGAAGTTACACCTTCATCCTGGGCTCTTCTACCAGCTGCTTTGTTCCGGAGGAGACAGTGGAATAACCCTGAGATCATCACAAATTTTCTAAGCCACTTGTACAAAAAGAGAAGGAATAAGTCAATGACTGCTTGCTGGGGTATCAGAGAATCAGACAGACCCAGGAGCTACTGTTGCAGCCCCAAGGTCAACAGCACAAGGATCAGACACAGGTGCCTCTACCCCACAGGAGGTGAGGACCTGAGGGGAGAGGCAATTCATTTTTGCTATGCCTTCTTCTAGTTGTCAAATTCCTTCTCTGTTGGTTCTTAAAGAGGGCTACACATAGAACCAGGCCTGACTCTGTTTTGCCAATCACATGTGGATTGGCCACCACTCCCTCTTGTCCCTACCTTACACCAGTCACCACTGTTTCCCCTGTCTTCATTGCTAGCATCTCCTAGACAGAGATATTCCCTTTAGTTTCTCCCCAGTGTGGAAGTCTTGGCACACACTTCGGTGAACAGGTGAGATGGGAGTTAGGGTCATGGGATGAGCTAAAGCAGGAGAACCCCTAGAATGACTGCTTGGGGACCATCGGGGATGAAGGTACACTCTCCAATGGCTCAGGGTTTGGTGATATTTTACCAGCAATGGCATGGTTGTGGGGACCTCCCTGCAGGCCTGGGAACACAGCAGAGTTGATGAGTGACTCCAGGTTATACAGCATCTCTTTGCCGGTTTTGGGATCCACGCTGCACACTCCTGGCCAAAGAAAAACATCAGAATGGGAACAAGGGATTGTCTGTCCCCCGTTTTCTCCCTGTCTGGACTCAAACCCAGACTGGCTATGGGGGTGCTAAGCACAAGCCTGGCCTCTACTCCTGGAGGCAAGACCTGGTATGAAATGCTGTGAGGCAGAGATGGTGGTTGCTTCCAGGGCGGGCAGACTGCCCTTTCACGGATGAAAATTTCCCTCCACTGAGAATGTAACAAAGAATATGCCTCGGGCATATTTCCTCAAAGAAGTGTCAGAGAGCAGTCTTCCAAGATGACTACTTTGAGGGAGACATGACTCATGTGGCTAGAAATAGAGAATAAAGTACCTTTTGGAGAAAAAGTTAATAGTAATAATAACTACTATCTCTAAAGAACTTGTGGGCCAGAACTGCTCTAAGCGCTTTACCTAAATTAACTCTCACAGTCTAAAGGGACAGCTGGGTCAAACAAATCACACCAACATACAGTGGGAAAAACAAACATCTTCCAGGTAAGTGGGAATGGCTACCTGCCTCAGAAACCTCAACACAACTAAAGAAGGACCTCAGAAGAGCCTGGAGGCTTCGAGTGGGCATATGGGTGTGTCCATCCTGGCCAGAGGCTGGGTGAGAAGCCCCTGATTCGGAGGTAAAGAGAAATCCAGTCACCAGAAGGCTGGTTTCTCTGCTGATGCCAGGTTCATGCACCAGGTCCCACTGCAGGCTGAATAATAGCCTGATTACTACTCTGGCTTTCTCAGGTATGCAAATCCCCAAATAAGGGGAGTGCCTACATATAGGCTGTAAGACTATCCCC